GAGGGGGGAGACGGAGGGGGAGGGGGAGAGAGAGGGAGTAAGAGAGTGAGAGAGAGAGAGAGAGAGAGGGGAAGTGATTGTAACGAAAGTGAAAAGGGATGAGCGTGAAAACGACCTACTTACTACACTACACTACACTACACTACACTATACTACGCCACACACAGGTGGATGATGGGACTGCACTGATCCTCAGGACCTGGTTCACTACCAGACCCAGACCCAGACCCAGACCTGGTCCTGGACCTGGACCTGGTCCTGGTCCTGGTCCTGATGTGGCCCAGTCTGGTCTGGTTTGACGTGAGGACAGTGGTGCCGGGTGAGGGCATGGAGAGAGGGAGGGGGGGGAGAGAGGGGGGGGGGTTACTATCCAACCCCTGCCATGACAAATGCATTGACGTAAACCCTCCAGTGCCACGCGTAAAAAAAAACTTATGGGTTACAGACCCGTCTGTGGAACATTACTGCTCTGAGGATGGATGTCGCCGCTAATGGACCCAACCAGAACATCTGACGGAGCCGAGCGGCTCTGGGACAACATCTGTTTGACACACACACACACACTCACACACACACACACACTCACACACTCTGTCCCCTTAATCAGACGCAAAACACACCAGGACATGTTGCTCCGGCACCGACTCTTCCTCATCTTCGTGGCTCCTTTAAGTGGATTTTTTTTTTTTTTTTTTAGTGAAAAGTCTCTGCTCCGTTTGTCGACATATAGAGTCGTATTTGAACTTTATTCAGGCTGAAGAGCACATCTACACTGTGACCTAATAAAACATGAGAGACGGAGAGGAGGAAGAGGAGGAAGAAGAAGAGGAGGAGGAAGAAGAGGAGGTGGCAGTGGTGAGGGGCCGAGGGAGGGAGGGGGTGAGAGGGGGGTAAATCACGAGTGGCCCGTGAATATTTTGTAACCAAATTTCTCAAAGGACGTGCGGAGGAAGCGTCTAATGCAACTTTAATTACAACACACACACACACACACACACACACACACACACACTCAGGGCATGGAGTCAAACATGCAAATCTAGGCCATTTTTTTTCTTTTTATCCCAAAACATCCTTTAAAAAAATGTTTAAAATTTAAAAAAAAAAACAACAACAATGTAACAATTTATTTTAACTACAAAAACAGAAGAAGAAGAAGAAGAAAAAAAAAAGCCCAGATCAGATCCAGAGTCCCGGAGGATCCAGATCTGATTTGTCTTCAGAAAACTGAACCCTGACTGTATTGTTTTACCTCCAGACACAATAGCCATGCAGCCTCCTCTCCTCTCCTCACCCCTCTCCTCTCCTCACCCCTCTCCTCTCCTCACCCCTCTCCCCAAATCTCCATGTAACCCCATCTCATAAAACACGGCTGAGCCGTATTGATATTAATTCATTAAAAAATATAATATACGGAGGCTAGACATCTGTCTGCCCGCAGGAAGGAGAGGAGGAAGGACGGGATCCGGAGAACCAGTCCGCTCTCACTCTCTGGGGTTTTTTTTTTTTTTTTTTTTTTTTTCCCCTTTCTCCAAGATCAAGTTAAAAAAGACACAGAAAATGCCGCGGAGCAGTGGAGCAGTGGAGAGCAGCGGGAGCGGAGTTTTTCGAGAGCAACAAGGAAACGCGTTTTTTTTTTTTTTTTTTTTTTCTTATTTCATCCGGAGTCGGTTAAAACTGACCTAGAAGCCAAATGCGCACGTCGTCGTCGTCGGCGGCGGCAGCGGGAGAAGCCGCGGGGCGGGCGGGCNCAGGCAGCGGCAGGAGCGGCAGCGGCGGCTTCTGTGCCACAGTTGTTCCGGGCTCAGAGAGTGGGTAAAATACGAGTACTTCCAGCATCGCCAAAATAAAATAAAAAAAATATTAAGCTTGGTTAAATTGAATCAAAACCACATGGAGATAGACACCATACCGCCCCCCCCCCAAACCGACACCAGCCCCGACACCACCACCACCACCACCCCCTCTTCCTCCTCCTCCTCCACCTCCTCTCTGGTGAGCCTGTGGCTGCAGGGGCAGATCCGAAAGTAAAGGGCTGGAGGTACAGGGGGCATGTTGGAGAAAATAATGGCAGACGGGAAACTTGCGTCATGCCAGGGCAGCGCGTTCGGTCCTCGAATATAAACGGCCCACAACAACAACAACAACACACACTCACACGGACACACTCACTCACACACACACACAGACACAGACAAGGAAAGGAAAGGCACAAGAGAGAAAGAAAAAAAAAAAAAAAAAGTACCATGAAGGCACCGCTTTGGTTTCTTCCCCGAACTGAACCGCGGGTCCAGTTTTTCCAGAAGCAACTTTCAGATCAGACCAGACCAGATCAGATCAGACTCCGGTTCTGGAGCTGGATTTCCGTCCGGGCGCATTCGTGGAAGTCAGTGCCGAATTCACGCGTTTACTCTGGGAAGTCCGCGAGCACGTTTTCTCCCACAGTGTCCAACACATCAGTCCGCAAATTCTAAACCACTGCTTTACTAACAACACACACACACACTCTCTCTCTCTCTCACACACACACACACATCCTTGACTTTTTCGTAATTTTCTTACCTGCACTTCGAAGCGCGTTTCCGAGAAAAAGTGGCGACAGCGGCGGTTCTCCACGGCTGCCCTCTCGGTTTTCCCCCGACGAAGAGCGTATAGTTTTCTGGGGTTGTTGGTTTTTTTTTTTTTTTTTCTCTCTCTCTCTCTCTTTTTTTTTTTTTTTTTCTTTTTTTTTTTTTTTTTTTCTCTCTCTCTCTCTCTCTTCTTCTTCTTCTTCTTCTTCTTCTAATGTTTTAATGTTTAAATAATAATATGTTCTTTCACTTTGTTTCATTTCTCACTTCCATCTTCTTTTTCATCTCATCAATAAACACACGCTGCAGCCTACCTTCATAGAGCAGCTCGGTTCAAGTGTGCCCTCCCATTTTTTAACTATACATCGAGTACTTTGAGGGGTGGTGGAGGAGGAGGAGGAGGTGGGAGAGAGAGAGAGGGGAGGGAGGGGGGGTAAAGGGTGGGTGAGGTAGTGGTGATGGTGCTGCTGCTGCTGCTGCTGCTGGTGCTGCTGCTGGTGGGGGGGGGGG